CAGCACACACACACACTACCTATCCCTAGTTCATACAGCACACACACACTACCTACCCCTAGTTCATACAGCACACACACACACACTACCTACCCCTAGTTCACACAGCACACACACACACTACCTACCCCTAGTTCATACAGCACACACACACACTACCCCTAGTTCATACAGCACACACACACACTACCTACCCCTAGTTCATACAGCACACACACACACTACCTATCCCTAGTTCATACAGCACACACACACTACCTATCCCTAGTTCATACAGCACACACACACTACCTACCCCTAGTTCATACAGCACACACACACACCACCTACCCCTAGTTCATACAGCACACACACACTACCTACCCCTAGTTCATACAGCACACACACACTACCTACCCCTAGTTCATACAGCACACACACACCACCTATCCCTAGTTCATACAGCACACACACACCACCTATCCCTAGTTCATACAGCACACACACACACACACTACCTATCCCTAGTTCATACAGCACACATACAAACTCCAGCTCCCTCCACTACTGCGCCCTCACAAAGTGGTGCTAATTTTACCTAACCCCAGAGAGTTAATTTGTCGTATTGTATGTTTGGAAACATATATGTTACCCATACATACACACGTGTACATATATGTATTAAACACGTGCGCATGGGCATTGGGTCAGTTATGGCCAAATCAAGTACATTACCATTTCATAAAATAAAAAACGGTGATCGCGTAATTTGATTGCCGTTAACAATCTGTCGACTTGTTTCTGTCAATAGCTGTCCCAACATGTTACCATCGAGTCAGTTATATCAATAACATATCGGAAGAGGGACTTCCATAAGCCATGCGGGTTGTAGGGGGTTGATTTGACCATACTTCACCACGCTGGAAGGTGCGGGATGGTAAAAGTAGGTGCGGGGAGGCACAGTTATGGCAATTTCTAAATACAAAACTAATTTAACAAAGAACGAATTACCCCACACAACCACCCAAAATCAGTCATAATTCACCATCACCAAATTTAGAAGTCCTTAATCCTGATATTTTTTTTAAATTCTTAATAAACGCATGCCAATACGGACCAAAATGGCAAAAACGTGGTCGAACCACTGCCATGTCCGAATACGGGCGTAGGGAACGGAGCCTCAGTTGAGCTGGTGAATTGACAAATGACTGAATTATTGTTTCAATGCAGCTAGGATGCGTTGAGGATGAATCCTATTTACTCGTTTAAACGCGGAGTCATTTATCCCCTGCTTGTGATTGATTGGAAATTCGATGACAGGGAAGGGATTAGTGGCAAAGCGATAAAGGCCACGCCTATGACTTTGCCGATTTTACCACCATGCACACGCCAAAGTTGTCATAGCCGGACTGTGCTACCTTGTGGTCAGCAGAGAGCAATGAAATGTCTGTTGTTTTACTGCACTTCTATGGTCCCCGCGTCATTGCTGCCCACCCTTCACCGACCCGCACACGATTCAGAACGCAGTGCGGTACACCACTGGGCCATTCTAAGCCCACTGCTGGATGAGGGCATCCCCACACTAAGTCGTTTACGGATTTTAACAGCACCTCACCACCATGGCCATTGCAGGTTTGTAAAGCGGAGAGTGGTAAACGCAGGACTGCATCTTGTTATTATAGGGGTGCCCCAGTGGCAAGATGTTAACTCTCTCGCCGGGTATACAGGAGGTCCGGGGGTTCAATTCCGACCCTGACGCCTGTATCTTTGGGGTTTGCATGGTCACGTTGATTTTTCTCAGTCTCATCCGGTTCCTTTCACATTTCGAATGAACATGTGTTGAGAGAATTTTGTTGCTATACATTTCCACATAAGCCACGTCATTGAGCTCTCATTCGTGGCCAGGTTGCTTATGAGAAAGAGAATATAGCTTAGTGGGCCTTAGCTGGTAAAATACAAAACATGTTTAGTGTTGGTTTATTATGCTTGTCGACCTAAGAAAATCTCGCCGCGTCTCACGACTCATTCAGGAAGGTAGGGACAAGTTATAACAGTCGGGGATGATGTTGCAATTCACAATCTCAATTGAATCAAATCTAGATTGGGATGTTTGGCTCATACAAAGTTTAAGTTGTTGTTTTTCTTCGTCCCCCTAACAGGTGACGTTATCACTTATTACACTTTTAGTTAATTTAGTGAATGGATCATAATATAACGATGCTCATGCAGAGTGTGCGCTGCTGCTGTGACCTGCACAGCGCTTTGAGATCCGATATGAAAAGCCGCGATATAAATGTCATTATTATTATTATTGATCATGTTAGCAGCCATGGCAGGGAATCAAACGCAAGTGCAGAGCTGGCCACGTTAATAGCGAGGCACACTAACCCACTGCAGCATTCTCTCCACCCCTTGCGTAAAACTCCAAGTTAACTCTGGGTTTTAGAGCTGGAATTGGATTTGGGTGAAGAGGGGGGCGGGGGAGGAGGGCAATTTAATTCAAATGGGAAATGCATCACCAGCCTCTCTGCAATCCTGCTTCTGACCTGAGCAGGGGTGATTCACCGCATGAAAATAAAATATATATTTTTTAAATGTGTTATTTTAAACAAGAGAGTCAGCAGACGTCCCCGCCTCGCCTGACACCACCCAAATATTCCACGATACCCCACCACCAGAAACGTTTTAACTATTAAAAAAGGGCGCTGATAAAAACATTACATTTTTCAGACATTGCACGCACGTGTTCAAATTGACTTTTACAAGGTAACAGGATAATTAGTCAAACATTATCCTCGAGCGATTGATTTTTTCTCGTGAAATGGTGGCGAGATTTTTTTCTCTCTCAATTTATAAAATTACTCGGCAAACTGAAGATAATTGAAAGAGGCAGTGTTGTTAATGACTGCCGAAATCTGCTAGCACTATAATTATTGAGCGTGTCAAATGCTGCAATTATTTAAACGAATACAAAGGACATTGGTTATATGCTGGCAATGGGCGACTATTAGGGTACAAGTCCATCGCATTTACAGACTGCAGGGGTTATCTGACCGAACTTCGTGCCGGTAAATGAAGATTCACTAAGACATTGGACTAACGTAGATGAAGGAACAACGTGAATTCCGGTACATGGCCCTTAACCCCAGCGTTTTAAGAGTTTTAAACAGTCTTAGGTGGCTGTTAAGCTAAGACGATGCATTCACGAATGTTCACCACCCCCACTTAACCCCTACACCAAGACTTGCTCAAGACTGCAACGGGTGGTGTTGGAGGCGAGAAATTCGCCAATTACAAATAGAGTATGTTAAATAGGCACTTAGTTGGTATAATATATCAGCTTCAGCCACACTAGCCACCAACGATATTATTCAAGCAGACTGCTGCAATTATCCCGATGTCATCTTTAAGCCACTATTATAAGAGTACATCAAGGATCTGGTGGTTACGACATCAAACGGCGTGGCCGGAAAATCCATATTTGATGTTAAATATAAACACGCATTGTTTAATGGACTTACCAAAGGCAAAAACCCCCCGTACAGCCTTAACAGACTGTTGTGGCAAGTGCTGTTCGCGAGGACCTATGAAGGCCGGCACGACACACGAGGGGGTGGGTTGCCAGCACCACGCCCGGCCGCCTTTGTCCCCCTAGTGGCGATGTTTACACACCGCACTCCATGCTCATTTGAGGCCGAGTCGACCGAGGTGAGGCCCGGGACCGGTTCAGAGAATACTCACTGGTGTGCATGTTGATGCTAATAAACTTAGCAGCAAGATGCACACGCGCACTGTGTTAAACGATTGGAATCTACAAATAGTATCAATTGCCATGTTGAAATCATCAATTATCGTTTTCATTCCAATGTAAGCCTTGTAAGTGGCACGGTTAAGCATGCAGGCCAAATTCGCCAAAACTGAATGTTAATATTATACGCATTGAATCGTAGTACCAACATACTACAGAACTCCAGCTAGCTTACCTATTACTCGTGTACAATTATAATCACAATTGTGGTTAATAGACTATAACCATTACGATTTAAACGCTCTTCAAACGCATGGTCGAGACGAGCCAATAGGCGGGCAAGTCAGCATTTTTTTTTGACAATCATTATTTAATAAAGCTAAGTGGCACACACACCAAAACTCGCAAAAATGTAACCCTATGCACACAAATATATCTTTACAATTTCCGTGGTTACATCTTTATAAGCTGTATATATACATTTTTTTAAAAACTGGATATTAAAGTTAGCTCAGGCCTCCTCCCACGAAGCATGGTCAGGGCATGCGGTCACAAATCGTCTTACTTCACCAATGCTGTTAATTAATGTACGCACTTGATCACGTCGAACACGTGTATTTATGGTTAGTCGAATCGACAGGAGGCCAATTGTAAAGTTAGTATTACCGCGTGGGCCGCTAATTTTATTTTTTTAATTGTTTAAACTTTGAGGCCTAGTCCGAGCCCAGGCGCTCAAGCGCCCACATCACGATCTCTCCTCTCTTAAAACAAGACCTGCGCACGATTAATCAGATAACAAATTATACATCACGTCAAGTGCACTTTACCTTAACAAATTCAAACACAGGCCCGCAACGCACGCGTTAAGCACTTCAACAAAAACCCACAATTTATACACAATAAGCGCCGTTTAGCGGCATCGCCCATAGCGGCGAGACCTCCTTTCCAGGCACTTTAACCGCCACGACAACCTCTCTCTTTGTAAATTACCGGCGTCAATTTTTTTTACTTAGATTCAATTAAACATTTAAGCCGCAATTCACACCAAAGCACAGAGCCTGCGCTAGGCCGCAATGGACGTGTACGGTGGGTGGGGTAAGAAGCCTGTCCCGACGCTAAAACTCTCGCGTATATCTCATCCGCGCGGCTTCGCTCGCCTCGTCGGGCACACCGATCGGGGTCCCCTCGCCCGGCCCGGGACCCCGCGAGCGAGCGAGGGGAGACCGCTCGAGTCACCCCAAAATCTCGGGGCCTGGGACGCACCGCCACTCACATGTGCCACTCCGACTCCGGGCGACGACGAGGAGGCCGCAGTGCGCATGCGCGGGGGGCCTTGCGGCCTGCGTCTCTCGGGTGGGGGGGGCGTGGCTTCAGGGTTTGGTAGGCGTGGCTTAAAATTAGTGTAGGCGTGGCCATGCGATGAACTCTAGATTTGAATACTCTTAGTTCTATTTTTCGATTTAAAGCTTTCGTGACTGCAGGGATTCATCTTCTTGGTTCTTTCGGTAAAGTCACGTAGAAGGGAAGTAATAAAATAATAAAAATAAAACATAATAAAATAAAATAATTATCACGACGTTTCGGCCACAACGCAAGCAGCCGTCCTCAGTTCTTTCGGTAAAAGTCACGTAGGTGAAAAAATTAAATTAAAATTAATAAAAATAAAAACTATAAAATCACGACGTTTCGGAGGCAACACGAGCTTCCGTGTTCAGGTGAAACTGTCACAGCAAAAAATCTGTATCAAGCTGAGGTGTGGACTCGAGTCATGTGACTTGGACTCGAGTCAGACTCGAGTCATGAATTTGATGACTTCAGACTCGACTTGGACTTGCATAACAATGACTTTGTCCCACCTCTGGTATCAAGTGATACAGAATCTAGATTTGAAGCTTTCGTGACTGCAAGGATTCATATTATTAGGTTTTTTCGGTAAAGTCACGTATGTAAAAAAATTAAAATTAATAAAAGTAAAATAAAAATTAAATAAAAATCACGACGTTTCGTAAGCAACATGCGATGAACGTTCGTCAGCGGTCGAAGGCGTGGCTACGAGTGTAGTAGGCGTGCGCTCAACAACAGAGAGGGGGGCGGTTACGATTTAAGTAGGTGTAATTCACGCCATATAAGGAGCGGATGGGTGTGTGCTTGCTACTATATAAGGCAGTGGGGAGGTGGGCCCCACTGTTGGAGAGGCGGGTACTTGATACGGGCACCACCCCCTAACCACGTGTACTGCGGGGTCGAATTCAGAGGGATGGGAGGGAGGGAGGGGAGGGAGGCCAAGGCAGTGCGCATGCGCAAACGCACCTCGACGCCTCGCGTCTTGAGTGGATGGGTGGTGTACTCTTAGTTCTTTCGGTAAAGTCACGAAAGTAAAAAATTTAATTAAAATTAATAAAATAAAAACAATAAAATCAATAAAATCACGACGTTTCAGGTGAAACTGTGTTGCCTCCGAAACGTCGTGATTTTATTGTTTTTATTGTTTTTATTAATTTTAATTTCATTTTTTACCTACGTGACTTTACCGAAAGAACGAAGAGTATGAATCCTTGCAGTCACGAAAGCTTCAAATCTAGGGGGTGGGTGTGGCTTGAGAGAAAGCGGGCGTGGTCTCCACATATCTGGCTGTCGTCTGGTGATGCTGGTTGTTGTAATTACTGGCGAAACGTCGTACCCGAATTGTAGAATGTTACGTGTTTACTTTCCAACACACGACCGGTGTGCTGTACTCGTAAAGTCACGTAGAATGGAAATAATAAAATTTATAAAAAATATAATATTATTTTATTATGTTTTATTTATATTTATGTTTATTATGTTATTATTTCCATTCTACGTGACTTTACCGAAAGAACCAAGAAGATGAATCCCTGCAGTCACGAAAGCTTTAAATCGAAATTTAACTGTATTCGTAACTTAATTGGCACGTTTTGTTGACATGACAAACCTTACTAATTGGCTGTTGGGTGGTGGTGGGTTTAACGACACATTTGTATTTACGCGATCTAACCCAAAAAACCCTCTATTGCGGATAATATTGTGAGAAATAGCTTAGTAGCGCATCGTATTTACCCAGGATAAATAAAGATGTTGATTGTGATGCCCTCCGCGGCACATTTGTCACCCAAGCACTATGTATGGTCTGCGTGCCAATCTACCTCTGGCCTATGTGCTGCGCAGAAGGGACATTGCCCAAAACGTCGGCAATGTTTTCAATAAAGGCAGGGATTCATCTTCTTGGTTCTTTCGGTAAAGTCACGTAGAAGGGAAGTAATAAAATAATATAAATAAAACATAATAAAATAATATAAATAAAACATAATAAACTAATCCCTGCAGTCGTGAAAGCTTTAAATCGAAATTTAAAGGCAATATTGTAGACAGGCGTGTTGAATTTTTGTTGTTGATTGCTTTTTGCGCACTACTCAGTCCCTCCAGAAAAACGCGGAGTTTTTTGGTGATTGTTGCGGGCAAAAATCGTTGATTATGCGGCACGTTTTCTTAAAAAATGCGATGGAATATGCGGGATATTTATGCAATTTTATGCGATGAAATTGCGGGGACTTGCAAAAACTGCGGTTTGATGAAAAAGAGAAAAAAAAGTGATTCCCCCAACACCCTATTCACTAGGCTACTACTTTAATGTAAAGAGTCATTTCTTATTACTTCCTATGATAAGCAAGCATACTACATCACAGAAAGTGCTGGGAATATTTAAGTTCTCATCTTGTTTTATTTCAGACCTTAACAAACAGATGGCTCAAACTTACAAAACATTGAGTCGAACAAGTTCTGTAGCTTTACTAAATGAATATGCTACAACTTCTGTAAAAATGAATAAATAAAATATAAAAAAATAAAATATTAAAAAATAAAATGTGTGCTTCCTGTTTTACAGAGGTAGCTATACAAAACAGACATCTTCTGTTAAAATAAGTGTTTTCAGTGCACAATAACGTAAGCAATACAGTAACAGTACAGTCTTACAGTAATGTAAATTTACATACTACTAACAAAAAAGTGCAATCTTACAACTGTAAAGTTGCATAAACTCCTGAAACAGGACCCTGCGGGGTGGGCTGGTAGGAATAATACTTAGTACCGGTACAGGGATATCGACCGGGTATAGAGGAGTTAAAGAAAAAATTACTGTATTCTAGTGTAACGTAATTAAAAGTGTTTGTTTTGACAAGAAACGCTGTGAGATTTAAAGACCCCCCACCACCAGCCCCCACCACCACCCCCCACCACCAGCCCCCACCACCACCCCCCACCACCAGCCCCCACCACCACCCCCCACCACCACCCCCCACCACCACCCCCCACCACCACCCCCCACCACCACCCCCCACCACCAGCCCCCACCACCAGCCCCACCACCACCCCCCACCACCACCCCCCACCACCACCCCCCACCACCACCCCCCCACCACCAGCCCCCACCACCAGCCCCCACCACCAGCCCCCACCACCACCCCCCACCACCACCCCCCACCACCACCCCCCACCACCAGCCCCCACCACCACCCCCCACCACCAGCCCCCACCACCACCCCCCACCACCACCCCCCCACCACCCCCCACCACCACCCCCCACCACCAGCCCCCACCACCACCCCCCACCACCACCCCCCACCACCAGCCCTCACCACCACCCCTCACCACCACCCCCCACCACCAGCCCCCACCACCAGCCCCCACCACCAGCCCTCACCACCACCCCCCACCACCACCCCCCACCACCAGCCCTCACCACCAGCCCCCACCACCAGCCCTCACCACCACCCCCCACCACCACCCCTCACCACCACCCCCCACCACCAGCCCTCACCACCAGCCCCCACCACCAGCCCTCACCACCAGCCCCCACCACCAGCCCCCACCACCACCCCCCACCACCACCCCCCACCACCACCCCCCACCACCAGCCCTCACCACCAGCCCCCACCACCAGCCCCCACCACCACCTTCTGCACTAGGCCTCGCGAAGCCTGCCGCACTAGGCCTTGCGAAGCCTGCCGCACTAGGCCTCGCGCCGTGCTTTTCGTGCACAAATAAGGTGATTAAATGTATCTCGTCTCTGTGTTAATAAATGTTTCTTGTCTCTGTGTTAAAAAAACGTGCTGCGTTTCAGGAAAGTATTTTTTTTTAAATTAACGTGCTGCGTTTCATCTCTGTGTTAATAAGCCTGCCGCACTAGGCCTCGCGAAGCCTGCCGCACTAGGCCTCGCGCCGTGCTTTTCGTGCACAAATAAGGCAATTAAATGTATCTCGTCTCTGTGTTAATAAATGTTTCTTGTCTCTGTGTTAAAAAAACGTGCTGCGTTTCAGTAAAGTAATTTTGAAGCGAAGTTTAAAGTTTTGCCGTGAGGCGCCGGAAGCGACGGCCATCTTGTTTAATTCACAGATCGCAGGGGGAGCGGGCGGCCATCTTGTCGGACAGGGTCATGCCAAGTGTTTGCAGTAGGGGGCGATGTTGATACACGGACGGACGGACGGACAAACGCGGACGGACGGACGGACGGACAAACGCGGACGGACGGACGGACGGACAAACGCGGACGGACGGACGGACACATTAATCTATTGGTGGTCTGGTCCACTTCGTTCCTACCAGTATAATCTATTGGTGGTCTGGTCCACTTCGTTCCTACCAGTATAAAACTAACTACGTAGCCTCTAACACTTCATAACGTTCCCATGGCAACAGGGGAAATGGCTGCGCTTGTGTGAAGTAAACGCAACATTTTTCAACTTTCTGCTAAGATATATGTGACTTTTTGCAACGAAAATGCGTGGATTATGAAATCATGCAAGCCCGCATATTTTGCGCGCGGAAATCTGCAATTTATGCGGCGAAAGTGCGGCGTATTTGAAAAAACGCGCCCCCCGCATAAATATGCGGACTTTGGCTGATTTTGCGTGGAATCTTGCGATCGCATAATCGCGTTTTTCTGGAGGGACTGACTACTGCCAACGCAGTAGCAGCAGCATCACCAAATCATGTTTATGAATGCTTAAAATTAATATGCCAGTTTCAACATACAACTATTTATTTTTTTAAACTGAAATATCATGAAGCATCATTTGGTTTAAAGTATCACTCTCCAACTCTCATCCACTTTACCTCTCAAGTCTCTCTGTTCTTGTGTCCGAAACGTCACCTATTACTTTTCCTATTAAGGCCAAATTGTTATTGACAAATGTGTTATTTTTTTCTACTCCATGCTTAAGAGGACACATTATAAGCATGTATAATATGCTGAACTTCTTTTGCACCGTACGTAGCCAACCGTGCTAATTTGAGGTGTGAAATTTAATTCTCATCAGCCCCCATGGCGTAAAGTGCAGTCTATATATCTCTCTGGTTTATCTTCTATCCTCGT